ATAATATCAATGCATCGCTGCAGTCAAACGGCTGAACCATCCACCAAAGTCAACCTTGTCATGTTTGGAAATAATAATATGTACCTCACTCGAATCAGTAGTTGTTAATAATCCTTGAGGTGTTCGTTTTATGACAAAAAATAGTGTACCAAAAGTACGATGGAACAACACTCGTAATATTACGCCTTCAAGTTGCCGTGAAGAAATTTCAGGAAAGTTATTTTAAAATATTGTTATTACTTATTTCATATACATCGTCTATTTTAACGACCGAAAATACACCCATGTACGATACTTGTTAATTATTTTGACATGCAACTATTAAAAATGTAATTCGAAATTTTATTCAAAAGCTCGGATTGGGTTCGGTTCGATGGAGTTGAACGAAATGTTCGGTTTGAGCTATTCATCACACCTAATTGTTCGGTTCGGGATACGATTAAAAAGTTCGGTTCGAGACCATATTTTTAAGTTCGACCCAACTCTATGAAAAATCCGTGCATAAGACTTACAAATATGTAATGTTTTTTCAGAGATAACGAAGTTCACGCTTCACAATAATCTTACCATATTTTATTGTACATGAGCGCGTCAGAGCGGCGACTTGCAGGCCATATATTATTATTTTCTTCTCGTTCGCCAAACCCATTCGCCGTCGTAACTTGGGTGTCTTTTCGAGTGTGTGTCGTTGTTACTAATATAATAATATTACTGGAACAAAATTTAACGTCGTCGCCACGAGCATTACTACATTATACCTATACGGTATTCGGCAACCATACCGCCGCTGCTGTCTCGAAAGTTTTAATAATTTCGTCATAATGGCGTAAACGTGTAACCGCGACCGCCTATTATATACCATAGTGTTATATAATATTATAATATATTATTATTATTATAAACTCGTGGTGGGCAGGTAAACGAAGACGACCCGCGGGGCGGTGAGTCTAACCTCCTCCGTCCGCCCTACACTCGTCGTCGTCTCCCTGTCCACAACACCTTACACGTCGTGTAACAAATACGACTCGTGTAGTTGTCGTTGTATATAGGTAACAACGGAGCCGCCTCGTTTTATAATGCCCAACACAAGATGTCAACCCATCTCGTGTGCCCGGCCCGGTGTCGTGTACTTGTGTGTACACTGTCATATATTATTATCACCGTGACACGATATTATAATATTATATAGGTTAGCATACATATGAGTTGTGTTTTATCGTGTCACACTCGTCTAAGTATGATTTACAAGGCCCATCGCGCTCTGGCTTGCTGAAAAAAAAACACTGTATATTATATTTTAGTATAATATTATTGTCACGGTGTTCAACACAATATATTATTATCATTACGATATACCATTGATAAAACTGTTTCTAACCATATGGATGAATCGAGTATCGGCATTGAATCTCGTCATTCCGTCGAGTGTGTGTGTGATACAGAGTGTCGAATCGACAGATACATTATAATTACCGCTGTCTATAAACGTACCGTATAATACGAGTACAACAACAATAGTTCGATAGCACTCAACGTCCGTAAATTATATTATAGATACTATTAGAGCACGTTTATTGTTAGATATAGGTAGGTACACGTTTTTAATTGACGCACAACTACGTTTACCCCAAACATGTCAATCTCAGGAGATTCGTCTACACGGTGTAGCTTGTATACTGTACAGTGTATACCAATCACGTTTACCTATAGCTTGGTAATATATAGCTCGGTAGGCACAACAGGAACAGTGCATTTTATTATTATTGTCATCAGCTCATGATATTATATTCAGTGGTTGGTTTCCCGATCACATTATTACCGCGCATCGTGTTTGTCTGTCGAGGCTTATAACTGCATAATGGCACATAATATATTATTATTATATTTTTGTAGATGACAGATGGACGGACAGCTGATAATATCCGTGTGACGCTCGACGGTCGCGGTTTTGAATCGTAATCGTCGCGGTCGTCGTCGTCGTCGACAAGCTATCGTACCCTCGGTGTAAAAATAATAATTATTGTAATACCCGATTTAAACGTTCGCGCAGAACAACGTAAGAGCCGGGTCTAAAGCCCTACAGTTCCCGGCGGGCTGTTGGAAAAGTAATTCCGACGTGCGCAAAGTTTTACACAAGAATACGCGTTGTCGACTGCCCGGGCCGTCCGGGCGACTTTAAACCCGACCGCGATCCTAACCCACGACTCTCTTAAGTCGTGGTATTAACCGCGTATAAAACTCCGGGGCGCGGGTTATCGAACCCAATGTATTATGCTAAACAGTCCCGCGAAAACCGTACCGGCAGCCGTGTGATTTCCGAAGGGGAGACAACATTTACTGCAGCCTTGCCGCGTCCCCAAACGCGTTTTCACCCTCCTCCTCCTCCGCTCCCCCCTCAGTACACACCCGATTGTCCTTTTCAGTCCCTTTACCGAATATATGACAATGGTATATGATAATTACATTATCGTTCGATCTAACCGAAAACGCGTCACCTGTACCCTATATACCTATATGTTTTAATACCTATACGAGCGTTTAATAAGATGGAACGCAAACAAACTATTTTTTTTTTCAAATCGCTCCTACCTATCGTGAATGGGATCTCTTCAAACGCAACGTCCGCGACACAAAATATTTGTACACGTTGACGTTACACTACACCGTTCCGATAAACGCTTCTTCGTTAGCGTTAACGACAGTCGCCATTCAATTTCAACGCGTTTCGTGCGAGTATAATATTAAATTGTGCGATGCGTTCCCGTATTGTAATATACGTATTGTATTAGTTGGTGGTATCTACACGTCATAGTGAAGAAGAGCATTACGTCGGTCGACTGTTATTACGTCGTCGATGATGACAACTCGGGATATTTGTAGGTAGGTACGGAAGAAAAATATATACGACCGCAGAACACATAATTTTGCAACTCACAATCGACTCGCACGCGTGCATTAATAACATATAATATTATAATACAGTATTCCACTCAGGTTATGCATATTGTTTACTCAAGTTGCGAGGAAAGCATAACGTTGATTTCCGTTTCGATCGAATCGATTTGTTACCGTGTTTCGACCCGAATACAAGCGATTTGTTCGAATCATCAACGTGGTGCCTAATATACAATGACAGTGTTTTTCTATCAATAATTCGAGTTTTAAAAACACTTCGTGTACGAATCTCGAGTTCGTTTAATATTGTTGTACGACGCGTATGTCGATTTCGTTCCAACATCTCATATTTTAGTTTGTCGCATCAGCTATTTAATGAATACAATATTTTAGTTTTTCGATCTATCGCATTACCCACCATAGTATTATTATCTGATAACACTTTAATACGTACAGTGAATAAAATGCACAGCAGTGTGTTGTTTATTTTCACCGTTAAGTTCGCACTTGACAAAAAGGAATGTGTCATCATCGCCGCGCATTGTCACACAATCATCTAATACCCATAACGCTAAAGTTTTCAAACGATCAGTCATTTACGAAACTGGTACATTTAGAAAGTTCAGCTTCGCCTATTGTCTCGAAAAATGCTTAACGTTTTACCATATTTTGAGATACTATATAGCGAATTGGAATTTTACTTATTCGTTACTTCATAACCTATATAAACTCTTACATTACAAACTTGGGCACTCTACCAAACGATTTGGCAATGTCAATAATTTTCATTTCATAAAAAATAAATTTCAGTCTTCATAGATTCTAATGTCCTGGAATGCTCCTGTAAAAAATACTGCAATATTAAATTAAAATATTTAAGTTTTTAGTCTTGAACAATGACAGTTTTAAAATTATATAACTTTATGAGATTGTTACATACTATGTTATATATATGAGATTAGTAAAAAATAGGTTCAATACGTCATATAATTATATACACGAATATTTTTTATTATTTCAGTTTTAAAACAAGCATTACTATACACCTTTATTAAATGTATGTTATCAATTATATAATACTATACTATTCTATTGAAAGTTGACAAAACCGTACATGCAGTTTTGTATAAATTTCAAATACATTGCATTTTTCTTTTCATCCAAATTGAGTTGCTCATTTTAGGTTCTCGGTAATCGATCTCCTCTCAACACTAGTATGTATTCAAACTTTATGTCCACGCGCGCGTTGAGTAATTATTATTAATCACTCGGTAATTAAATATTTTATTAATAGCTAAACTGTACAAAATATATTTATGTGTGAAGGGTATTAAACATAAGTATAGTTTAGCACACTATGAAGGATAAACAATATCAATCATCATTTATAATATCATTAAACGTATCGCGTCGATGAAACTCGGCTAACCAGTAAAACGCATTTTAGGTGCTTTGTCGTCGAGTCTACGAAAGGGTTGGAATATAATTGTAAATACGTACTGTGTCTCGGACGTTAATATAATATATTATTCACGTACTACAACAGTCGTCGTAGGTTTTGGAACTAAAGCAATCGTCGCAAACCGCGATTGGGTAGCTAATAAATTATCTACCGCTATTACTGCAAGTCTAATCGGCATAATTCTATAATATTATTTTGATACCTACGGAGTACGTACATTATGATATTAAATGATTTGCTGAAAAATCAAACGTGTTTTTTCGTTGGATACAATTTCATAACTTTTCAGTTCCTGAATCGATTTACGCTTCGATTAAACATACTATATAGATTATTACACAATTAAAACCTCATCATACATAGACGCACAGGTAAACACCATTTGACTCGATATACAGATGTAATATTACCGTCTACGTACCTACGTCTGCAAAGCACAAAATATCAAAATACTTGAATAGTCCGTCGTCCGTTTTATGTATCAAACGTATAATGATTAATGTTCACATCATTCGAATCAATATGCACCAATTATTATCGTACACGTGTAGCAGCAGACATAGTAGCTGCCGTTTCACACGCGGTCAATGTTGCGTGGCTTGTAGGTATAAAGTGAGGCCCATGTGCTGGAAAAAGTTTTCCTTTATTTCTCGGGGCAAAATGTCATTGCCTCAGCAGGTGATGATAATATCACACACACACACACATATGTACGTATAGAACTATGTACGCCGGCCGAGTCCGATACGATCGTGGCAGTTGTGTCGGTGTAGTCGGGTTTTTGTCTTAAGAAAAATCCCGAAATCAATGGTCTCACCGGTGCACAAAGACGTGAGGTGGTAGTGGTAGGGGGTGAGGGAGATGATGGTTTGTTAGTTTTCCTCCGTCCACACCCACGCCCGTCATCTGTGTATAGCATCGGACCCGTTCAGATGTAAAGCTTATAAATTGCTGATAGCCATCCCACAAAACCAAGCAATCCTGTTCTCTGTACCCGATTTTTCCTACTACTACTACAACTACTACTACTACCATCACTACTACTACTACTACTGCTACTTCTGTTAAACTATATATATATATATATAGTGGGATATCCTTAACTCGCCTTCACTGCCTCTTCTCAGTCGGCGTCGTTCTTTCGGTCTCCAAGTTTCATTCTCAATCTTTCACGTATAAAGGCTGTGTGTACACACACACACACACGCGTAAGGTTTTGGCGTTTTGACAAAATCGCACGCATGCGTGACCCTAGACAGAAACGCGTGGATATAGAGGACAAGACAGACGCGGACGAACGACTGGGCGCACGCGAAACGAGAATGAGAGAATCTAAAATCATCGTACAAAAGGATTCGTGGGACTGCCGCAGTACCAACCACCTCACCCTGCCACCTAGCGAACGGAAATCGGCCTAAGGGTGTGCACATAACACCAATAATATCTGTCATCCCTTGTCACGGTTAAATGGACTCATAAATCGCACGAAAAATTACTTATTGTTGCCACTCCCACCTCCGATCCCGCAACCGAACGTACGACGACGACGCGACGGTTTTAAGAGCAAAAGCACGCTATCGATGTTTCGGCGGGACCCATATAATACATATCGATTGAAAAACGGACACACTATATATTCAAACGGCTTATATAACATTCTTGGCGACTTCCAAATATTAATATATATTTATATATGTGTGTATAAGATGGTATGCCGTATATTATATATATATATTATTATGTATATATTGGCGTTATGTCGAATGGAAATTTACGAAAGATAATATACATCCTAGTAATAATAAAACATATCCACTTTATTTATTGACCACACAGCCTCTGTAGATTATCATAATAACCCACGGTTGACTTTGGTATTAAAAAAATTATTTATTACATTATTTATTATACACATAATACATATATTATATACAAATGTTATGCTAAGGATCACAAAATGTTTTAAATTACACCGCTTTTCACTATATACTCGCCAGTTTGTTTGAAATCGAATTTATTTGATGAGTCATATTGAATGTTTGCTCTACGAGCACAGGAATATAAAATCGAGTGCATCATGAGACAAAACGGTTGTCACGGAGTGCAGAATATTATCATATTATAATAAAAACAAAAATGAACAGATTTTATTTGTTCAATATTGGTTAAACACTGTCACAAACTCTAAACAAATATAAAACATATTTTAATAACGTTTGAAACGTTTATTACGACAGAATAATAACTAATTTATACCGCAGAGTTTTATTTATCAAATAAACCTCTTTTCCTGCCATTTTGTTTTATTTCAAATTTAAATATTGCGTTTTAACTGTATGTCATAAAATTCTCTACAGTATAGCAAGGTATGTTCGACTTGCCAGTTCTTTGGAACATTAACACATAAACATCAAAAGTAGTGATTCGTTTTCTTTTGTAACGTCTGGTGCTCAATGTTTAATGTTACCCGAACACGCCAATTTCATTATTATTCTTGTATTATCTGATTTACTTCCACATGTTTTCAAATTACTCGCTTTTCGAATTTTTTCCGCCTTCATGCTTGCGAAAACCCTGGGTGATTGATTTAATGACGTGTACTTGTACATGTTTTAATATTAATTAACTGACTAATTTCTGCAAATTTTTATTTTTCATTAATGTTAGGTTACAATGATTTATCCTAAAAATGTATTAGTATATGCGGACAATTATTTTTTGAATTATTATTTAATAAACTGAAGATAAAATCGACCAATCAAGCTGAGTCTAGACTTTTAGTGTATACGAATAATTTAAATATCAACTACCTATGTATGTATTATCATGATTCATGGTCCACGCATATATTATTATTATAATAATCATATAGACTATAATTTATTATGCAAGTTACATACCTACCTAATACTCAGCTAATACATTTACATAACGTGCATGTAGGTACCTACCGATAAACGTTTGTCTGTATAGGAATTTACTGAATTACGAAAAATAAGCAAATTCATTTCGATATAATATAAACCACGTGTAAACGAATGAAACACCGTGTTGAACACATCGTTCTTTACTGGGTCGTTTGTAGTTTTTGGCTCGGGGGTCATGGAGGAAGTTGCCGATATTATAGGGAGACCAGGTGCACGGGCGATAACTAAATCCTAACTCGGAAGTTGGGACATACACTTTTACTGTCTTGTCATATTTGTAATGTGCCATTTTAATGGATTCATATTTTTATAAAAGTATTTTAAGCTACCTATTTAAATGATATAATGTTAAAAAACATTGGTTTAATCAAATATTATTAAGTATTGCGTATACATTATTTTAAGGATCTAAATAATGTCTGACTTAAAAGTCCTTACACATTTCAATTAATATTTCAGTCATTTATATTATAATCGATGCAGTTTGTTTGATTATATTTTTATAACGTATAGGTGTATAACTATAATAATTATTATAAATTATATGGTTCACATTTGAATCGATAGGCCACGGGCAATGTGTATACTAAATACAATTAATGAGTTTCTTTAATTATGATCAGTTTACTTTTTTCTGTGGAACATTTTTCAGATCAGTGATTCAATTTTTTTTCTGTGCAAATTACTCCATACGATAATAATAATAATACAAAACAATCATGACTAAAAGTTGCATTTTTTGTGCTAATATTCGGTACATGATAAGATAATTGACTACCTATACATAATACATATTATTAAAATATAGTTTTATAAAAAGTAGCTTAAAAATCATAATTTAACAGTAAACTGCCCTCAATGTTATGAAAGCTAAAATGTATTATACTTGTAAGCTAAGATATATGCCAGTCACCTCCTACCTACGTTTTCACTACCTTACTTGATATTCATTTTTCAATAGGTAGTTATAGTGATATGTGTTTTGTGTATTAAGATAAGTATTTATATTTGTTTCTCATTTACTTGTCTTAGAGACGATTATGTAAATGTATGTTGCTTTACTCTGCCGTCGCCACTTGCCGTCTAAATGTTAATTTTGTTGGGAATACTAATATCAACTTTAGTCAGTATACATAAATTACCCAAAGTAATTACAAACTAAAATAATAAACTACAATTGGGAAAAAAAAATACGTGGCTTTTATACTGGAAGTCGGGGGGATATGTATAAATTGTATATTTGTAAAAATTCGACAACTCTAAAAAAAAAATAATAATAATACAATTTCAGCTTTAGTTAGGAGTGACGAAGCATGATGGCTGTGGCTATTGGTGCGTATGAATTGTGGTAGCGGTGTATTTATTATACGATGGTGAACATTGTCTGTTATCTTAATACAACAAACGAGTTTACTCAATAACATGCATCGATATTCGATATTGTTATCGTCGTTTAAAATAATAATAATCCTATGTCATATATTTTAACTGCGCGTCGTGTCATCGTGTATAGTATCATCAATTATATTTCAACGACTATTTGCCGTGCAAGCGTTGCACAGTCATCAATATTGTATTTCAGTTATAATAATAATCATAATGCTCTGAACGACGATAGTAACAATATTATTTAAATAGTGAAATCATTCAAATCATATTACACCGCAGAGTCGTTTTTTATTAATCGGAAAACTATTAGCTTGTAAGAGTCGACCTGTTTAAATACACGACCGGTGGATGAGAAACGAAACGAATACAATGATTTTTATTTTAATACAATTTTATCCTGGTCTCAATAATAATGTTATTTATAGATAAATGCCATCTTATATTTGAGTTTGGCGAAAATCATGCAAGCGTGTGTGTTGGGTGTGAGTAGACAGGCATGCGGCGGCAAGGGATTTAAAATAAAGACTACACGTCATTGAGTGTATGACACTGGCCGAGGGATGTACCTATGTATGTGTGTGTGAGTGAGTTTATACGAGATAGAGGGATAGATAGAAGGAGAGAGATAGATACATGAAAAGAGAGGGATAGAGGGGGAGGGAAGGAGAGAGACAAAAAAGGAGAGAGTGAGAGAGAGGAGGGAGAGAAAAAGAGTGAGTGAGCGAAGAGGGCGGTGGGGAAAACAAAAAATAAGTCCGAAATCGTTCGTGTAACCGTTTGAACGAGGTCAAGAACTTCGTCGGGGTGTTAAAAGAAAAAAAACGATTCAGAGGCGGTCGAAAAAAAATGAGGAAAAAAGTCACCCCAACATAATACACGGACGTACGCATTATAAATTGTATACGGTCGTCTTTGGCGGCGAAACAATGGGGTAGAGGGCGCTACGGTCTGCGGTGGCGGTGGTGGACTCGCGTATAGTCGTCGGCTGCCGCGGTGCCGCGCTGCCCCGCCGCAGAGGGGTTGTTTGGCCGCCACCGCCGTAGCGTCAGTCCGAACGCAGTCGTCCCGTCGTCGCGACCTCTGCCGCTCGTCGTCGCCGCCGCAGCAGCAGCCGCCGTCGCCTTCGTCGTCAGCACCGTACAATCATCACACCGTGGGGACAGTCTTAGCCGGAATCGCCACGAATCTCGATCCTTCTCGACCAACACCCGAAACCATCGAACGTGTCTCTATACCACCCGTGAACAGGTACGCGAGAGATTGATCGACGACAAACATGTCGGCGAAACGGAGGTGAATCGATATACCACGAAGAGCCGAAATATCAAAAGTAAAACACGTCCCGCCTTGTGCCCACCGAGGAGTCACATCCACAGTAGTCGTTCCGCCCGTGTCGTCGTACAACCCGAAGATTTACGCTTACCCGCCCGCCGCCGCTATGTTGGCCATGTCCACGTTGATGATGCCCGCGGCAACAGTGACCACCATGACCAACCCGGCGCCCATAGCGATCGCTCAACCTTCCAAGTTCGAACCCAAGTACATACTCAGCCACAACCCACCGCCGCAGATGACGGCCACCGCAGTGGTGCCCCAGATGACCATCAACAAATCAGGTACGACGACGGTTTATAATAATATACGGTCGCAGTTATTATAGGCACCTAATATTGATAATATTATTATATTAACTTAATATTCTTAACTACGCGAACGATAATAATTTAAAATTACGTCCTACTACCGTGGTACCATTGACCGCGCGGCTGTCTGTGGTTATCGGTCGCGGTTATAGCCGTCGAATATAATAGTATGGTTATAAAGCACGGACGCTTTTACGGCGGGAATATCGTACTTAGGCCGATTACGGATACCGGTACCTAGGTACTAAAATAATTAATGTACGTTTTGTACCGTCTCGGCGATCATTTCGCGCGGGCGCCGCCAACGCCACGCGACCGGAACAGCTGCCGGTATCGCCGTCTACCGTGGTGGTGGTAGTAGTAGTAGTAGTCGTCGTGGTATTATATACTTGCGCGGCGGCGTCGCGGAGCGGGGTACACCGGTCGCTACCGCCGCCACAACCGCTGCCGTCGCCAACGCCGCCCGTTGTTTTCGTAACGGTTTTCCGACGGGTGTCTCGCCGGCCGGCGGCACGAAAAATCTTCGTCTAACTGACTACCTCGAAATTATTCCGAAAACCTATTTCCCGACGTCGTCGTGGTCGTCGCCGTCCAAATTGGACGACACGACACCGCGTATCAGACATACGACGCTCTATAATATGTACAACTGTTAAACCACGACAAATTGGTAACAAAGACGTGTGTGGGTTAGGGTTAGGTATTTTAGGTCCATGTCCTCTTTGTTATTTCTCGTGGGTTTTGTTTGTCTTATCTACGGGTTTCCGGTGTTGTGTGTGTATGTGTGTGTGTGCCAACGATGTATATTATGCATATAGATAAACTAATGATTTTTTTCCGATTGACATATTGTTTTCATATTGTGCATATAAAGGTGTAGAGAACGACGTATACACTTTTTAGTTACATTTTTTCCGTTTAATAATAATATAAGGTGAAATATCGGCCTAACTGTATCACCATTAATATATTCTGATCTTGTCCTCCGAGTCCGAGTTTGTTTTATGAAAACATAATAAATGATTGTAAAGTGTCATCACCGTATATATTTTAACTAAACCTCGACTAAACGTACTTTTTTCAATTAGTAGTAGATGCAATGATTTGTTTATTAATCTTTTTACCTTTCTTGTGTTTTGTTTTTAAATCATTAATTAATAATACATTTACAAAAGTGTGTTTCATATTGTATAACATGGAAATTTCCTTAGTACACTGTTGAAAACTTTAAAATCATTCATAACTGATAATTTAATTAAAAACAACTAGGTATAGTAATATTACGTAGTTATTTAGAATATTCATCGTAACATAATCATTTCAATTAAATATCGAAGAAGTGTATTATTTACAAGTTGCAATTTATACCGGCTAATATTAAAATATGAATTGAAATGATATATACATAGTAATAGTTACTGAATAACTAGTAATTATACTGTGCGTAGTATTTTTATTTAAAATGTTTGATAGAAATGTTAATACTATTAGTATTTTACGACCATAAGACTGTACAACTAAATTGTATTTTTTAAATTGCAATAATTTGTTAATCGTTGAATATTTTTAGTTATAATATTATACTTGAAGTAAATGAAACAAACATCTTTAGAAAACAAATGTTAATAGTTAAATATATTTAAAGTTATTACAGTCTGTTCGTATGGATCTCTTTTCTTTTCTTTTTAATATTAAAACAATTCTCAACAAATTACTTAACTCTAGACCTTCACAACTTGCTAAAAAAACGTATTCAATATTTGCTTAACTATATTCCTTATTCAATTCATATACAAAAATATGAGAACAAAATATATAAGCTATTTTATAATATGTCAAACCAGTGGTTTCGTATACCTAGCTATAAAACACATTTTTAAATATATTAATTAATTAATAATATTATATAATATATTAAAAACAAAGTAAGTACCTACCTATTATTGTAATCAAAATGTATAATACTATTATTATTTATTGCTCAATTTAATAATGATACTAATAACGTATTTATTTTTTTATAAAAACATGATAAAAACCAACAATAGTTCGGTATAAGTTCGATATATTTGACATTTTCAAAAATCGGTTATTAAACGATTTAAATGACTTTTATAAACTACCTTCATATGATGAAGTCGATTAAGCTAAACGATTTGGTGATTCATTTATTTTTACGGTTCTCCATTATTATTTTTTTCAATGAGAACCAGACAGTGAAATTTTTCTCATCCGGGGACATCCATAGTTGCTAAAAGGGAGAGGGTTTAATAGCACCAGATTCCCTCCGGGGTCAAAAAACGGTGAATACAAAAAACTGTGTAGGTACACCTGCCCCTCGTGGCATATTGATTTTTGCACCCTCTTTTTCGAGCCGGTTTCGAGATATAGCTCTCATAGTTTAGTCATCTGTACCAAATTTCTCTATGGGGTTATGTTTAGTGAAAATAAAAGCAGGAAAATAACAATTACAGTTACGGCTGTAATGACATCGAACAAGCTAATTTTTAATAACTTTAAGCTACGATAATAGGCTACTTTGTATGGAAATTAGAAGATACCAGATGGCAATTTCGAGGAAAAAAAACGTACGAAAACAATTTTAAGACTAAGAGGCACTACATTTGAAATGAATGGTAGTTTTTAGAGCTGCTGTGCGTATAATTAGGTTTACAATAAACGTTTCTGTATATTTTTATGAATTTTTATTACCTGATATAACTATAAATACCTACAAAATAAACATTTTCATAAAACTATTTGAATTAGTATTAATACTGTTGGGTTTAGAGAAATATAATGTACAACAATTAATACAAATTATTTTTATTATGCATCTTGAACTTTTTTGTGTGGAACAAAATAAAACAAAGGTCAATTATTTTTAATTTTCATAATTTTTTAACTACCTAATTTATCAAGGCTCTTATCTGAAACTAAAATGGATTATATTCTACTAAAATAAAGTAGGTACATACACAATATTTTGAGATAGTTGATAAAAATTCATTTTTTCCAGATAAAACGTGAAATCAACAATATTTTATTAACTATACATTAGTGTATAATATTTTAATGGTGTTTCATAACAGTAATAATCCGATGGATGAACTGTTTACTGTTGTTGTTGTAACTTACCTGGTTTCCGGTTGAATTTGTTGATATAAAAAAGTTAAATATTTTATATGCAAGACATTTCCAGAAAATAATAATAATAATAATAAACAGCAAACGGTTCGCGTTGTACGGTAATTGCAGCACCATCTGTCAAGTCGTCGGGTGGCGCGGCGGAGCGTGAATGGAATACATGTCCCTCGGGCGCCAGGTGAGGGCATACATGAGCCCATTTGAATATGGGCGCGCGCCATAATGTACTTTAATCGGCGATACGTTTTTTACGGTTTTTGGCCTTGAATTTATCCCACTATAGGTAACTTAACTCCGAAATATATAAAAGCACTGAATACAAAATGTAAAAGTAAAAACTCTGGTAAAAACCTATATTGGTCTTGAATACAAATATATTTCATCCCAGACGACAAAATAAGGTACATAAAATATTTCGATATATTTATGTATATATAGAATAATATGTATGTAGTGTATAATATACCTGTATGTAGCTGTGTGCAGGCTGTAAATGTACCAAATGTCAGTTTGAAAATACATATTGACTGTACTAATAAAAAATGTGGAACACGTACCTGGGAGCCAAAATATTTGTCGGTAGTATATAAATTTCCAAAACAATAGTTATTTAATTATTTCACAAAGTTCACTATGGTGTAGTTCTACAATTACTGTTTCGGTTTTATATAAATATGATGACATAGTTATAAAAATTGCCTACATTTATGTTTAATAATTGTTTCAGAACTTAAAGATATAGGTATTAAAACAATAATTAATATATTCTATAAAAAAAAATATACAACAGTATGTTAAGTGTTGGTGTTGGTCATTTGCCATTATGACATGATACGATCAATTTAATTTTGTTCCAGTTTCATTTAATGTCTCTACTTTAAATAGCTCTTTTGAATATATAGTATGACTTTTATATAAATATTATTTTACTGTAGGTAAAAGTCTTTACAGTAGAAACTAAATAAGTAAACATTTATTTCTATTGTCTTTTCTGTAAATGTAATTCAACCAAGTTAGGTAATGAACGCTTTAAAATATTGTGAATTCAAATTTTTTTTTATATATATTTAATGTGGATTCCCTCGGGTACTTACCACCGTTTAACTGAGTTTCAGGACAGGAGTTGAATTCTCAAAGGAGCCAAGTATAAAACCGGCCAACTAGTCCCTTTATATGTCTGAAGTTTTGTTTCATGAAAGTTTCGAGATGGGCCAAGGTTTCTCGGACGTTATATTACAGAAACCCAAGTGGCCAAGTCCGTAAGCTGAGGAGTGAGGGGAGAAAAAGCTAAAAATTTTGTTTAACTAATTCACGGTGGGACGTTGTAATAAAACAACTTCTTCCGGCGATGTGACATCTATTATGAGCACTGAATACACAAACTTTCGAAAAATGCATTAATAACTTAACCAACAAACTTATTATAATATATTCAATTACGAATTATTTTTTCCTGCCTGTCACGTAAAAGTTTTTTTTTTTTTATCAACAAATAAAACAACAAAATAATATAAACTAGTTTTGGCACGATACCTAAAAACTTTTTAAAATAATATTTGAAAAAAAAAAAACAAAAATAAGAAACATACCGTGATTGGGAGCTTTCGCCCACTGGCCCACTTTATTCGTCGTCCGTTAGGCTATTTACTACGGGAATATAATGCTCAAGAGAATCCGACGTAATATAAATGCTAATAGTTAGATTTTGTGGAATAAAAGCGCACATGGGCTTTGTTTTATATAGTATTACTATTATACCGTTAATTGTTATGATTATTTTTTGAACAAACAGTATTATTTTTATTTATTTTATTATTTCTTGTGCT